CCCCTGAGGCACTGGGACCACCTCCAACCTCCCTCAGAGGACTTGTCCTGCCCACCAAGGGATCTTGGGTGCCACCACTACCCATGTCAACAACCCAAGTCAAGTTTGTCTTTCCAAGTCTTGGTTTCCTCATCTGTAAATGGGGGTAATATAACTGTGGTGAGACTTAAGGCACATGGAATAGTGTGTTTAGTAAATGCTATTTCCTTGAACCACTGCCTATCCTCCAGGGCCAGCTGAGAGGTATTCAATAAACATTTTTCTCATTTATTTTTTTATTTTTATCGAATCATAATTGATTATACACATTTTGGGGGTTCAATATTGACATATGTTGATCAAATCAATATTACTAGTATATATATCGTTACAAATTGTACTTATTCTTTATACCCCTTCTCCAATCTCTCCCTCCCCCTCCCACCTCTGATAACCCTAGATTTCTTCTCTCCCTCTGAAAGAGTAAAGGTTACTCTGTTGATTTGTTGCCTAGATGATCTGTCCAATGCTGAGGGTATGTTCAAGTCTCCCAATGTTACTGCAGAGCAGATGCTTCTGTCACTCTGGAATGGGCTTTGTGGAGAAAGACATCCTCTTTTCTTTCGTCTCTGCTGGTGACTCTCCTTGTCTCAATGCACTCCAGTGGCTGGTGGACTATCTGCATGGTGGTTGCGATGTCTAGCCACCTTCGTGACAGCTGTGGTGGCTGTGGTGGGCCACCCACATGGAGGTGATGTTTTGGGCATGCTCCTTGGTGCTGGTGGTGTGCCTGGTTGTTGGGGGGCTTCTGGTTCCCAGATCCATGCCTCGGGTTGCTGGGCAGTCCCCGAGATGCTGGCAGTGTGCCTGGTTGTGGGCGGGGGGTCAGGTCCCTGGCTGCATGCCTCAGGGCCCACTAGAAATGTGCTGGATAGAGACTGTGAACTTCAAATTCCCAGTGCTTGAAATATTAAATAAAAATTATGGGAGGCTATTGTTTTGGACTAAGCTCTTGCACTAGGCCCCAAAAGACCAGACTAAAAATCAAAATGGAGTCAACCCTGCTAAAGATCCAAGATACCAAAACCAAACTTGAGTTATTGTGTGGACATCTGAGAAATGAGGAGATAACAGCCAATTTCCCAAACAGGCCAGTTTAAATCTTCGATCAGCATGATAATGAAGTTTAATCCTTACATTAAAGACAGCCTAAAGTAACCTGATGTTAAATAATCAGTTGTTTTTCTATTGTCCTGTCTCCTGCCCCAGTTCAAGAAAGAAGTTAACTTTGAAAAGTAACTAATGCACTTTGTTCTTTGCTTTTGCTTTCTTCAGCCCTGTCTATAAAGCCAATCTCTTCTGCTCAGTTCACTAGAACATTTTGTTCTATTTTATGGGATGAAGTGTTTCTAGAAATCCAGAATCGCAAATAAAGCTAATTGAGATCTTCAAATGTGTTGTAATTTTGTCTACTGGCACATGCACTGCCATTTTCCCAACATGTATTTTTCTAGGCAAATCAGAGGTCCTGTCTCAACCTGTTTTCTTATGTGTGCAATGACTGAATTAGACAAGGTATTCTGGAAGGTCAGAATCCAAACAAGTCATCACTGTGGGGGCGGGACTGTTTTAAGTGCAAAAAAGCACCGGCATTATCATCTTTCTTTGGACGTATCTAACCTCGGACCTGTGTATCTGGGCATCCCATACTCCCTGTGGGTTTTCCTCTACTTTGGACCACTCCTCTTTATGGTACAGCCAGGCCTATCAATTCTACCCCATCTCTCCCATATCTAGAAGATTCCTTGTCTGGACATTTCCTCTCTCCCCAACTCCTCCAACTGTGTGTTGAGGGTGAGGTAGAGCTAGTAACTGACTTACTGATCTACAACTCTGTGCCAGGTAGTGTGCCAGGGGCTTTACCTACACCACCTATTTTTTGATGACTGGTCAGTACAGGGATCCGAACCCTTGACCTTGGTGTTATAACACCGCGGTCTAACCAACAGAGCTAACTGGCAAGCCCCTCTTTTAATCCTCACAACTCTCCTGAAAGGTAGTGTGGACCAGAATCAAGATTGTCAAGGCAGGAATAATCTCATAAAGGTGTATTGAAAGCCAAGCTTGAGGATCAACCCCGGAAACACAGACCAACAGGGTTGGGAATTGCTCCAAAGTCTATTACAGGCTCAAAGGACTTTATAGGAAAGTTATCATCGTTGTTTACAAGTAACACCATAAAGCTAAAAATGTCTATGTGCATTTTGGGGCACATTTTCCATGCTTTTTGACCTTTCCTTGTAAGTTATAGTTACTGAATCACAGTCTAAACCACATACTGTGTTTACCTGTGGAGCAAGATGTTGACGCAGATCATGAGACTCAACCTGAGGCAGGATTTTAGAAACCTTTGTCTCTGTCACCAGCAGCTAGTTTCCCACTTCCTCACAGATGAGAAAAGTGAGGCTCTGGGACAACAGCTCTGATATCCCACAGCAAGTCCAATTCCAAAGCCTCTGACTCTTGCCTTCCTCCCCACTAACCAGGCTCCCCTTCACCAGGCTCTACCCTCTGCTTCACCCCCACGATACAGAGAAGTGGAGCAAGCAGGCCCTTGCCTGCCTGGTTCACCACTGCACATGGACCCTGCTGCCCCACAGACAGTATTACTGGGGGAAGAAATCCTAAACGTGCACTGTGGTAGGTTTTCCTAAGCCAGGATCATGCCACTTCCCTGCTTCACTCCCTGCCTTCAGTGATCCCACTGCTTTCCAAATAAAGCCCCAACTCCTTGCCTGGGACCCAAGTCTCTCCAACACCATTGCCCACCTTCCTGCAGCCGAGATTTTGACTGTTCTCCACAGCTCCATGATTTCCTACCTCTGGCCATCTCAAGACTACTAAGAATGTAACAAGGAGCTTGTTGATTTGTCAAATTCACCTAGCCTTTAGGCCTTCCCTGATGAGAACGGCCAATTGCAAATTTAACTGACCTCAGATAATGACCATATGTCCTAAGGCAGCCTCCGCGTCCCAAGGGAGCTGGTAGGAAAGCAGAATCTCAGGTACAGTTGAACATGGTATGAGCAGATCCCCCAGTAACTGCTCACACATTTAAACAACATATGCTTAACCATTAATTCTTCCTAAAATTCAATGCCTATGATTCAACTTTATAACATTAAGCAAGTCTTTCAGTAATACCCTAGAAATAACTTTTTCAAATATAAAACATTTCTACCTGCAAGGAAATTATGAAAATGTACATAAATTATACTGAAGAACTTGATTGAAAGGCTGCCCATATACAGACAGATGCGTTTTACTTAGAAAGCACACACACACTCTCAAAAACACTTAACCACATACAGATGCCACTGCATTCTCTAAGTTTCATTACACAGCAAACTGCAGGTTCACGATAGTCATCGTATTATGTATCAACTGAAAAAAAGTATTCCAAAAAATGTCTTTGAGGACACATGGGAGTAGAACGTGCCTGCTTTAAAAGCAGAGCTTTTACAGGACCACCTGCCTGCAGCAGGCTCCCAACAGCCAACGAAAACAGTTACTGCCCTCAGAAAGACAAGATGGTCTTGATAATGATTTCCACGGACTCCCGAATCTCATCCTCCTTGATCACGAGCGGAGGTGCAAGTCTGATGATGTCGCCATGAGTTGGCTTGGCCAGAAGTCCGTTATCTCGAAGTCGCAGACACACCTTCCAAGCATCATAATCTAAAGAAAAACAGTCAAATACATATGCTCAAAGACAAATGTTTAAACATCCCCTTGCCATACACACGGGCAAAATGCAGCCTAACAGAATTCCCAGTACCAGTTGAAGAAAGGAAGCTTTAAGCTACAAACTTACTTTATTCTTAGACTTCAAAATTAAGTTACTCCTGACTTTCGGCAAGCACATAACTAGGTTTGAATGGTATGGCTGGACATATCATGGTTTTTATTGGTTTTTCATAAATGAAAAGGACCAAGCAAAAAAAAATACACACGTGCTAAGGCGACTCCCGAATCTCATCCTCCTTGATCACGAGCGGAGGTGCAAGTCTGATGATGTCGCCATGGGTTGGCTTGGCCAGAAGTCCGTTATCTCGAAGTCGCAGACACACATTCCAAGCATCATAATCTAAAGAAAAATGGTCAAACACGTATGCTCAAAGACGAATGTTTAAACATCCCCTTGCCATACACACGGGCAAAATGCAGCCTAACAGAATTCCCAGTACCAGTTCAAGAAAGGAAGCTTTAAGTTACAAACTTGCTTTATTCTTATACTTCAAAATTAAGTTACTCCTGACTTTCGGCAAGCACATAACTAGGTTTGAATGGTATGGTTGGACATATCACGGCTTTTATTGGTTTTTCATAAATGAAAAGGACCAAGCAAAAAAAATACACACGTGCTATATTAATTACAGGAGGAACCAATGCAAAAGAACTTGGGCATGACACGATTAACTGACCCAGAACAGGCAATACTCAAAACCCAGTGAGCATGACACATTCTTCAAAAGGATTCACATCCTAAGCTGTGAACTAGACTCTCATCTCATGACTTTATAGCAAGGACTGTCAACTCTGGCTGCATATCAGTATCACCAAAAGAGCCATTGCTAATGCCTGTGCCCCACCCCAGACCCACCAAAGCACAAGCTCTGGGGTGAGGCCAGGCTTTGAATCAAAACAAGTGATTCTCAAGTACAGCCAAGGTTGCAATCACTGCTTTATTCATTTTACTTATTTATTTTGGCAGATGGCTGGTAAAGGGATCGAACTATGGACCCTCATGTTATCAGCACCATGCTCTAACTAACCGAGCTAACCGGCCAGCCCTGGAATCACTGCTTTAAAAGGAAGGGTTATCACAAGAAAATCCAACAAGGAACCCTTAAGGGTTACAAAAGATGTACTAAAACATCAAACACTCAACTAAGTGGCAGCTAGCATTGTTTTTATTATCAACACCATCATCGTCATCCATATCATTATTACTATTGCCCCTACAACCTCTACTTATATACAAAGTACCAAAGTGAGGAAGGAAAGGAAAGCAACAAGGAAATCTTCAAGGACAGAGTTCTGTACAGACTAACAGAAAATAACTTGAAATCTCCAAGTATCGTATGACTAACTTAAGGCAGAAAAACAAATGTCTTAAAGGAACAAAAATAGGCCAAATTAGGGGCCGAGCCCGTGGAGCACTCAGGAGAGTGCGGCACTGGGAGCGCAGCGACGCTCCTGCCGCAGGTTCGGATCCTATATAGGAATGGCTGGTGCGCTCACTGGCTGAGCGCGGTATGGGTGACACCACACCAAGGGTTGCGATCCCCTTACCAGTCATGAAAAAAAGACGCTGAGCGTGGTGTGGGTGACACCACACCAAGGGTTGCGATCCCCTTACCAGTCATGAAAAAAAGACAAAAAAAAAAAATAGGCCAAATTAGTTAAACATGCCTTCAGGTAGGAAAGAGCTATATTTATACCATTAACATAATTATAAATCAGACAATACTCTGCCTAAAAGACTTGGTCAATAAGTCAGTCAACAGTTTCAAACAGAGGACTCCAACAACCAATTAAAATACCAAAAGGAAATCTTAGCTCTTCCTAAAAGCAATCTTGAGTGAAATGTTTTATCTCCATACCTTTGGTTTCTCTAATAACAATAGCATTTAATAATCCTTTTCCTCTTACGGCAGTTACGATATCAGAAGGTAGCTTCATGAGTTCTTTTCTCAAGATAGTACCCATTCTGTCTGCATTTTCAGCCAGGTTTTCTTCTTCCAAAACCTGTGTTTAAAGAGAAATTACATAAATGTTAAGACTGCCCCTTTTTTGTTGTTCTTTGGAAGGCAACATGGACTATAAGCAGAGGGAAAAATTAGTAGATAAGGATCACAGTAACTTAACTTCCATTTCTATTTTTCAAAGCCTGTATTAGTTTACTTTCTAATAAACATACACTAGTTCGGAGCCTTGCCTCAGTCACAAATTCAGTGTCTATCTGTTCTCATGGCAAAATAAGAACTAAAATTTGTTTAATGCAACTGATATACTGTCATTAGTTACATACATAAGTGGACTAAATATAATTTAATTTTTAAATAGTTTCCTTTATTTTTTTCCTTAAACACTTCATCCTCAGAGATTACATAATTTTATGCCTTCGTTAGGCACATCAGTAATAAGTCTAAAAGCACCGGAAATCCATACTTTAAACAAACAAAAAAACCTTGCTTACTGAGCAAGACTCCTGGTAGGCAGGTCACAGTGTGAGAGTTTTGTGAGGGACAGCCAGGGCCTAAGGGCTCAAAGCCCCAGGAGACTGAAAACTCAGGATACCCACCAAGGAAACCCAGTCTGCTAGGCCAAGATTTAAATTGCTTTTTGAGAATGCCTTACTCCTAAAGTCTTTCGTCTTTACTTCACGTTCTCTAATACCTGGCAATCTTATTAAGTTTCTTATTAAACCTTGGACCCAACTAAAAATCACTTCCATACCACATAAAGAAATAGGTACTGTAACGGCGCATCAGCTTTTACCTCCAGGGCTGCAATGGCCACTTGGCAGCCTAGTGGATTGCCACTATACGTTGACCCGTGCTCCCCCGGTTTGATGGTCAGCATTATTTCATCATCACACAACACTGCAGACACCTGAAGGACAGCACACCCAGAGCACAACTGGTAACATGAGGCTCACATTAAATATACATAAAGCTTCAACCAACAAAAGCGTCTGCCATCCTAACTACCAGTAACAACCTTAGCACACTACAAATACATCAGGCACACTTCAATGTCACAGAACAATACAATTTTGGAATTAAAAGCAAAAATCTTCTTCTGCAATGATACAATTTACAGTCCTTTCCAATTTTAAGGTGAAATGCTTTGTGTAACTGCTTAGAAAAAGTTGAGCACTCTCTTCACCAAAACAGTTTAGTCTATTCAGCAAAAATGTCTATACTTCAAAGCCCTTTAATCCAATATAATTATTGGATCAGAAGAGCAAACCCAAGAAAAGAACAATAAAACATTAATTTCTTCAGTCTCTCCGTTCATTGCTCAAGGTTTTAAACAATTAGTAGTGCCATGGTTCCAAACACTGGAAAAAAGGATAGGAGTCTACACAAGTACTTTCAAGTTAAACTATTTCCATCCAAACCAAATGCTATAAAGCAAATTCCAAGTCATACACAACTCTACAGTCAAAATTAATTAAGTGGGTCACACACTGGAACCCTAAAATGTTTTTATTACAGATATTCCAAGTGACCTGGAGCATACTTGGTAAAGAACAAACCATCTGAAAGGCATTATTGTCACAATTAGTTGATGTAAAAATATTTTAGGGGTACATTTCATTACAGCAGGATGGAAAGAGGCTTGACATTAAACTTACAGGGTATAAGCCACCAGAAAGGGCCTTTCCAAGAAGGACTATATCAGGTCTGACGTTTTCATGATCTACAGCCAGCCATCTACCAGTTCTGGCCAATCCTGTCTGTACTTCATCAGCAATAAACAGAACCTTTTGGAAAAACATAACAGCATTAATTGCTAATTTGGTTTCCACAGGGAACAAAATTTCCTTCACAAGGAACAAAATTTCCCCCCCATAAACATGTAATCCTGACATGCCTTCAGATTTGCAAAAATGTTTTAACTACCCAAACAATTTCAAGAGTGTCCTATGAAAAGCCTGCGGACACACAAGCTGCTTCCTGTGTCAGGCCACCATCTCCCAGGGGCCCGTTTTGCACTGCTGTATGTAGAAGAAAGGTGTTTATGCAAAGGTGAGAGGGTTTGTAGGGCTCTTCTGGATATAACTATCCTCTGGGAACAAATCAATTCACTTGTTTACTCCACAAACATTTATCAAATATTTACTGTGTGACAGAAACTGTCAATGGTGAACAAAATACACTAATATTAGCCTTGGTGAGAGGAGAGAGAGAGCTTATACCTTCTAAAGCAGAGGGATACAACAAAGGGTTTGGGAGGGATTAAGAGGGAAAGGCTCCTGGAGAAGAGAAGAGGAAAACATGGTTAAGGCCAGGAGTTCTGCAGCTCTGCCCAGAGCCCAGGGTATGGCCACTGTTCCAGAGACAGTAAAAAAGTGAGTTTCTGTGCAGGTTTCTAAGTTCTAGAAAGTTCTGAAACTCTTAGAATGATGTCTCCCTCTAGTGGGAAGTTGTTTTAATCTTTCCATTAACCCTATCAGCAGAATTCAAAGAGATGAGGGAAGTTAGGTAGGAGCTGGTTGGGTCTCACCACAAATAGTTAACATGCACAACCTGGTGCCTGGTGCAGAGTTCTCGTACTCCAGTTAGGTAACCTGGATCCGGAACAACAACACCTGCTTCACCCTGAACTGCTTCTACCATGAATGCAGCAACATTTGGATCCTGAAGAGCACGCTAAAAAAGAAATATTCAGGAATAAGTTTAAAAAACTTCTTTTCTACCGTATTTGGAAATCTCAAATCATACATTGCACATATTTTTAAGTATGTAAAACAAGTTTTTGCACTAACTTATATCCTGACTTCACAAGTATATTTCCCACTGACCTTCGATCACCAGAAACTCCAAATACTTCAGTGTTAAATTACACTACCCTACATTTTCTAATACATACATGTATTATAATTAAAACCTAAAGTAAATAGCCTTTTAAAGCCATCTTAAGGCTTTTTAAAAATTTTAACATTTACCTTTACATATTTATGCAGTAGTGTGTGTTGTTTCAACAGAGACATGCACTCTGGTAGACAGCATAGTTTTGTGCCCGTTAATCCACCTCTTCCCCTGCCTCCCACTCCCTTTTCCCTCCTGGTCGGCTCTGGCAACCATTATTGTACTCTCTATTTCTATGAGAACCCCTTTCATTTTTTTTTTAATTCCACATATGAGTGAGATCATGTAGTATTTGTATTTCTGTGCATTTTAAGGCTTTTTTTAAAAACAAAAATCAACTTCAAAATTTTAAAAAGCAAGCTGAAAACAGAGAAATTTTGTCTAGTAATTAAGCAGGTAATACCCAAATGAACTGTTATGAAATATAAAAATCTAAAGTACTATTTGGTTGTAAGGATTAGATCACAGAACCTAGTTTTTCCTGTGTTGGAAACTAATTGACCATTACTGAACGCAAGTCTTAAATCTTGGCCTGACTAAATAAGATAAATTTTCATTATAGTCACAGAATGTACTTTTAATTCATATACTCAACAGGTTTAATTTCCATTTACTATGAGCAAAGCACTGTGATACTACTGAAGTACCTCAAGTGCAGGCAGATCATTATATGGGATGACTTCAAAACCTGGCATAAACGGTCCAAAACCATCATAACTGGTTGGGTCTGTGGAACTGGAGATAGCAGCCAACGTTCTACCCCAAAAGTTTCCAACTAGAAAGGCAAAACAAACAGTAATTATTTCAAAGAAATCCCTAAATTGAATAAGCACTCTCCCCCCAAAATACCTTGGAAAGTATGTATGACTTAAAAAAAATTAATCAAGGGTTTGCTTTAGAAAATCTCCAGTGAGCTTTCAATTGTTAAAATCTGATATGAAACACCATGGTTCACATGACATAAGACCACTAGGTCTGGCCTTGTAATTACTATTTTAGGTACTTCTCTACTGAACCTCCTGTTATATATACAGCCCCTGAGGACAGATACTTTTCTTTCAATAATCCCAACCCCAATACCAAACCCTAACAATCAATGCATTCAATGCCTGTTTTCTAGAGAAGATGCATTTATGACAATGATATATGAAAGAGAATGAGTTTTCCTTTTAAAAATCTAATACTGCAAGCTAACTACTCTACAGAATGCATTTTTGGTTTCATTTGAAGAAAAGATTTTTAAAAATCTAATACTGCAAGCTAACTACTCTACAGAATGCATTTTTGGTTTCATTTGAAGAAAAGATTTTCAGACAATCCAAACACTTTCCATTTTGCCTTCCCTGATATTATCCTTTATAATGCTAAATGACAGACATCTGCCTTTCTTCAGGAACATTTTTTAATTCATTAATAAATGTGATTGGGGCTGGCCCGTGACTCACTCGGGAGAGTGTGGTGCTGATAACACCAAGGCTCCAGGTTCAGATCCCATATAGGGATGGCCGGTTAGCTCACTTGGGTGAGTGTGGTGCTGACGACACCAAGTCAAGGGTTAAGATCCCCTTACTGGTCATCTTTAAAAATAAATAAATAAATAAATAAATGTGATTGAAGACCTATCATACGTCAGCAACTGTTCTAGGTGTTGAGAAAGAATGGTGATCACATATGGCGAGCTCCTTGTCCTCAAGGAGTTTCCTTTTCTAGTAGGGAAGAAACACCATAACATAAACCAGTAAAGAAAAATGAACTAGATATTTCAGATTGGGTTAAATTCAAGAAGGAAAGAAACAATGTAGAATAATAGAGAAGTTGGGGATTTGCCTACATTATGAATTTTTTTTTTTTTAATCCTCCCAACACCTCTGCCACCAGCAACTCAGTTAACTCAGGACTGGATTATTGGGCTTTGGCTTCATTGCATCTCTAAATATTACTCTTGCAAAGCCTTTTTCACCTGCATCTTTCGTCTACAATAATCTTTTACTCATCCACAAACAATAACGTATTGATTTTGACCAGCCTTGTTTAAAAAAAAAATGCAGTGATTAGACAATGAGCCTATTTGTTCTGTTCTGCCTAACCTCAGCAATCTCCTCCACAGCTCACCCTGCAGGCATGAGGGACTTACAGTTGGGGACAGTCTTCCTCTGTCTCTCCACCCCACTGACTCATCAGCTTCTTTCAATGCTCAGGTGAAAACATCTTTGCACCCTTTGCTAATATGAAAGAAACTGAACACAGTCTGCAAGAATGAAAATCACCATAAATACAATTTTTGTTTGCAAGAGATAGTTGTGTTGTCCTACAACTAAGGCATAAGATTTTTAAATGGCAAGTTACAGAGTTGTGCAAAGATTACTTTTTCTTCAGAAATCTAATCTGTCATCTCAAATACCAATTACCTCCTGCCATTGATTGAACTCTGGATTCTATTAAGTTATGGGGTTTATAATTTAAATGCATGCATTTAAAAGCAATAGTATTTAATGATTTCAACTATCACAAGAATGAATTTTGACCATGTATAATAACCAATCTATGCATGCTTTGTTTTTTTAAAAATTAAAATCGAAGCTCAAAAAAAAGGCAGACTCTATCATTTGAACATCATATAAAGATTCTAAAGTCAGATTATATCATCCCAATTAATGGTTAGTCTCCCTAACCAGAATTCAAGTTATTCCTCTCAACCATTCCCAGAAGTATAACAAGAGCAACCCCAGGCCTCTTCTTCCCAATACCTTCTAAGAAGAACATGGCAACAGTACATCCAGTAGGATATGACCCCACTCTAACATCTACCAGTCCCAACACCTAACAAAAACTCTCCACCAGTAAGACGATCTTATTAACTGGCAAACTGCTATGGGAAAATCTGATGCACGGATGAGAAATTAAATTATACAACCACTCACTTCAGGGAGGGAAGAGTAGGGAGTTAAGAAAGAAAAACCCCACATATGAAGAAATAATTTAGAAATAAACCCAAGAAGAGGAAATCACTCAATTTTTATGAAACGTTCAGCAAATAATGTATCATGTACCAGGCAAATACATTAGAAATATTTCATCAATAAATTAAAATAGTAAATGATACTGTATGTTTAAATCATAGCAGTATAATATTTAATTTCACATACCTACAAAAACAATCTTTGCTTTGTATTTCTGAATACCCTTCACAGTATAGGCCCATTTACGAGCAAGTTTGCAGGCAGTCTCTCCAGCCTCCACTCCTATCAAAGGGAGATATTTTCAGATTTAAAAAATGTTTTAAATTATCAGAAAATAGTAAGATTATTTTGGGGGGTATTTAACAACAAAAAAAAGGAAATGCTTTACCTGTATTCATAGGAAGAACTTTGTGGTAGTTGAAGAGTTTAGTAACATACTCCTCATATTCACCAAGTACGTTATTATAGAAAGCCCTAGATGTTAAAGTCAATTTGTCCACCTGACTCTTCAGGGCATTCACAATCTTAGGGTGACAATGCCCTTGGTTAACAGCACCATACGCACTCAGGAAGTCAAAATATCTTCTGCCTTCTACATCCCATACGTAAACACCTAAAATATATAAGGGAGGAAAATAATTTTAGAAAATTACTGTATGATGTCAAGTCCAAAGATTAGGACTACTAGCAAGCCCTTTGAATGCCTACATATGAATGTCTACATATGAATGTCTATTTAATACATACTTTTAGTTAAGGCTTGTTTTAGCTCAGGCATAATAAACTGGTTTATAAGGAACTGTAAAGGATTATATTTCATCTGTCCAGCTTCAAAAGACACATTTAACAAAATATACATTTAACAAGAATAACACAAAACTCTGGAGTGAAACCTCTACCTATATTCTTAACATTTAAGAGCCAAAATTAGAATTTAAAAGCAGAAGTTACACATAACTCACAAAAATCATGAGAATACTCACCAGGATAGTTATAATTTTTGTAAAAAGGAAACAAGTTTTGGAAAGGATGTGAAGAAACCAGAACTCTCATATACTGGTAGCGGCGGTTCCTCAACAAATTAAACACAGAATTATCATATGACCCAGCAAATCCACTCTTAGGTATATACCCAAGAGAATGGTAGGTGAAGAGTTATTTTTGTAAAGCAAATTGTTCCCAAACTTGTAATATATAATCTAGATTTTCATTTGTTCAAAAGAAGATATGTCTATATTACACTACTGGTCTCAAATAAAATACAGGCAAAGGACAAAAACGTTTAATACTCTTAATATTGTCATTTTCTGGCATAAAGCTAGGTAATAAACTTTGATTTCATTTGGTTAAAGGAGTTGTTTCGAAATGCAGATTAAACCACCATTTGATGACTATCATAGTAATCATTTATTCAGGCAAGACTCATTAATGGATGCTAAAATTGTAAGTTTCATGAGAAATAGGATATTTGTAGAATCCCAAACTAGTCCTCACAAGATACTTAATACAAAAGGGAAAATAGTAACTTTTTAGTGAACTACCTTACCAAGTGATCAAAGACAAAAGCAGCAGTAACAGAATATGTGGACATCTCCTGATGTGATGTACAGAGAAGGATACAATATCACTAAGCAAGGGTACATAATTTGACTCTGACCATGAGGAAGCACCAGACAACTCCAAATTGAGATGCATTCTACAAAATTATTGGCCTATATGCTTCAAAAATATCAAGGTCGGGGGCCGGCCCGTGGCTCACTCGGTAGAGTGCGGTGCTGATAACACCAAGGCCGTGGGTTCGGATCCTATATAGGGACGGCCGGTTTGCTCACTGGCTGAGCGTGGTGCTGACAACACCAAGCCAAGGGTTGAGATCCCCTTACCGGTCATCTTTTTTAAAAAAATATATATATCAAGGTCGGGAAGACAAAGAGGAATTGTTCTGAATTAAAGACGACTAAATCTGACAACCGAATGCCAACTCATGATCTGAGGTTTTCTTTTGTTATAAAGAACAAATAAAATCTGGATTAGGTCTATAGATTAAATAATGATGCTGTATCAGTGTTAACTTCCTGATTTTGATAATTACACTGTGGTTATAAAAGAAATCGTCCTTGTGGTTTAGAAAAGACACAGCAAGTATTTAAGGGTAAAGAGGCATCATGTCTGCAACTTCCTCTCAAACAGTTCAGAAAAAAATGTATAATATGTGTGAGTGTGAGGGAAAAAGAGAAAGAGAACAAAACAAAAGTGGTAAAATGTTACCACCTGGGAAATCCAGGTAAAGACTAATAGAAAGTTTTTAGTACTGTACTACCACTGTTACAACTTTTCTTTGAAAAATCTAAAATTATGGCAAAATAAAAGTTAAAAGAAAAAAGACAACAGCAATATTACAGTACTTTCCTTATTTCCTTTGCACTCCCTCTCGGTGAGGTCTACCATGACAAAGACTAAATGAGTTCATCTTTGTAGCCCCCACAGCACCTGACACAACAGCACCAGACACTGAGTAAATGTTGAATTAACCATATCTGCAAAATAGACATTAAATACATCTGGAAAAATGTATACTGAGAAAATATAAAAGCAATTAATTTTTATAAAAGGCTTCAAGCAAAAGGAGGAAGGACGGAATGAATTCAAAATGTACCTTTCCCTCTCTCCAGGGCTACAGGTAAAGGATGGTAATTGTGTGCACCATATTTAGATTCCCGTTCAAAAATGTAATCAGAAGATAGAGGGCCTTGGACTGTTCTTTTAGTTGTAACAGATGCAGCAGAAGCCAAAGAAGAATGAACTCCACGACGAAGCACCACAATGGCCTGAAAATGTGCTAGTTTAGAAAACATTGTGTCCTTTAAGGAGGAAAACCACAGACCTGTCCAAAAAAAAAGAGACAGCATTAGGAGTCTGAATCTTTCCAGAGTTGATGTATGTTGACTCACTAAGTATTTGTCGCACTTATACCACAGTCTGATACCATCAGGCTCAATACTATCAGATGGTTAAGTTTTTAGAGTACAAACCAGAGGCAGGGGACCAGATCAGAGAAGGCTGCCTGAAAGTAGTCACGGGGTAGGAGACAAAGGGACCGAGAAATATTTTGCTTATTGATTCTGTCCTTGTACATGGGGAGTGTAGGAAGAATCTGGTTTCTACAAAGATAAATAATACGGACCATCCTAAAAAAAAAAAAGAACAGGTGTGGTGTGGAAAGGAAAAAGTGGGGCCAGCCCGGTGGCGCACTGCTACAGTGCACCGCTTGGGAGCGCGGCGGCGCTCCCACCGAGGGTTCGGATCCCACATACAGACTGGTTCCCACTCACTGGCTGAGCGAGGTGCGGGCGCGACGCCGAGGGTTGTGATCCCGTTGCCGGTCCTGGTCTGGTACGGGCGGGCGCGACACTGAGGGTTGCGATCCGTTGCTGGACACGAAAAAAGACAAAAAGGGAAAAAAAAAAAAGAAAAAAGAAAAAGTGACTTCAGGGGAATGGGAAGAGTGTACCACCAAAATAGAAACTTTTTTTTTTTTTAAGATGACCGGTAAGGGGATCTTAACCCTTGACTTGGTGGTGTCAGCACCACGCTCAGCCAGCGAGCTAACCGGCCATCCCTATATGGGATCCGAACCCGGGGCCTTGGGGCACTGCACTCTCCCGAGTGAGCCACGGGCTGGCCCCAAAATAGAAACTTTAAAAGGTAAAATCTGTTAGCCACAAATATCTAAAACTTCTATAGGTCAAATTTATCATAAGCAAAGGTGAAAGGCAAAAAGACTAGGGAAAAAATGTTTCGTAATTTATAATAGCCTTAAAGAGCTTTTTTTTATTTTTTTTTTTTGAGACCGGCCGCACCGCGCTCAGCCAGTGAGCGCTGTGAGCGCACCGTTTGTCCCTATATAGGATCCAAACGCGCGGCGGGAGCGCTCCCGTGCTCCCAGCGCCGCACTCTCCCGAGTGCGCCTCGGGCTCGGCCCTAAAGAGCTTTTACAATAAGTTGAACAAGCCAAAAAATTAAATAAGCATAAAAGATGAAAACAGGCAACTCCCAAAAGAAACAATCTATTTTGCTAGGATGGTTGTTTCCATAAAACTTATCCCCAAGGGCCGAGCCCGTGGCGCACTCGGGAGAGTGCGGCACTGGGAGCACAGCAGCGCTCCTGCC